AATAATTCGAGAGTGTTACAACAATGTATTATCATTTTATTGAGAAAATGAACAAATACATTTAATATAGCAGTTATATGAGCAATTATATACACAAAAAATTTATATATAGTTTATGTTGATTATGTCATTGATGTTTTGGTTATGATTTTATACAACAACGTACAAGTTTAACTGTTTTAGTTGGTTAAGTCTTAGCAGTTCATCTGATGATGACTTTCAAATAAAGTCGAAAATTCATGAATTTCTACATTAAATGTATTTGTTCATTTTCTCATAAAATGATAATACATTGTTGTAACACTCTCGAATTATTACTGCATCTCACTTCTTCATTTAGCAGCTTTTGATATTTCATGGATTATTTTTGATTAAAACAAATTTTGAATTGTGCAAAAAAAAATCATTTTTAATCAATTTCGTGTAGTTATCAGCGGTAGAATTTTTTTTTGATTTTCTTTGTTTTACATTGATTAAAAGAGATGTCTTTATGATTATGAAATTTTTCTTTTCTTGTTTTATTATAATCGATTCTAAAACAATTTTTTGCATTAGTTGTTTCTTTACATAATAACATTGATAGTATCGATTCAATCATGAAATTTTATTCTAGAATACGATTGAGTATTTTCTAAGTATCAGTTCTCGACATCATGATCAAATAAAAGATAAACTTTCGATGTATAATATACGTCGATCGAGAAAATCAAAACTGATTTGGATTGGTTGATTGAAATGACGTGCGTCACGGTATATTAATCAAAACGCATTTTTCCCATCATGTTGTTTTGATTTTGGGTAGACTGATTGTGAAAATGAAATTTATCATTACGTTCGTCAAGTAAGTGTTTTTTCCACTTGAATGATTCTTTGCTATATCGTAGCTCATTCCTTTAATAATGACACATCAGATCACATGAAAGAAGAAGAAAAAAAGGATGTTTTATTTTAGCGTCACTTTTTAGAACAAGAAAGGTGCAGTAGCAGCATTTTTATCAAAGCAATATTAACAAGTTGCCGACAACAATCACAAAACATGAACGTACAGTTGTATTCACAAGAAAAGTCTTCTGACAAGGGTAACATATAGGCTTATTTATTTTATTTTAATCTTCACCAAATCTAAGAGAATAAAATAAAGCAAATATTAGTCTTTGTATATCGTTTGAAATTTATTTAAATCGAAAAAGAATGTCATGGCGAACAACATTTACATTGCTATTTCTTTTCTTAAATGATAAGTTGCGAAGATACAATCAATACTTAGAATTTAATTTCAGTAAATTTTTTCATAGTTCAAAAAAAACCTAAAATATATTGTCTAATAATAACAGCATAATGGAAATGTTCAACTTCGTAATGAATTTTTATTGTATTTCCGATATAGACTACCATTGATAAAGAAATATTAAAATTTTTGAAGCAGAACAGATTTGAAACAAAAACATTAAAAATAACACTTTACTAATGTAAGTTAATTCAGATCCACAATCTTAGTGAAGTTGATGAGAACAAATACTCATTGATTATTATTCACAACACTGACTTACAGAATTAACTATTTCTTTTTGACAAATTAGCTCTGTTTGTTGAGATTGTAATTTTATCTATTTTTTTTTTGGGCATCAGATGACAAATTTACAGACACTTTGTTCATATAAATTTTAAGAGGACACATACAATAATTGTCTGTTGATGGTATGAGATTTTCCTACTGACAAAAAAAAGTGTTTCGAACAGAGCTAATATAGTTAATGTATTAGAAGGAAATGATTTTTTTTTTAGAAAAATCATGGCTCTCTCCTCAATATCATGCGAGCGGAGCGATAAAAAAACCCAATGAACTCGAAAACCAGTTAAGAAATCCGCCGGAGATTACTTCTAAAGCCATATTAGATCGCGTACAAGGTTCAATGATTGGTTTGGCTTTGGGTGACGCTCTTGGTGCTCATGTTGAATTTAAAAACCGATATTTTTTGATCAAATATCCAGTTAAAGACCTCCGAGGTGGCGGCACTTGGGGGCTTCGACCAGGAGAGGTAAGTCCTCTCCATATGAATTTATTTTCCATGTCATTCAATTAATGTCGACTAAAGCTCAAGTCTTAGATTAAAAAAAAACCCTGTCATTTAAGTTTACGCTTTGACGTAGATTACAGTTTAATAGTTCATCAGGAATTATTCTTCTACCTGCAAGAGTTTTAGATAATTTTTTTTTCAAACATAGTAATCACAAAGAAAATTTCATCACTGAGAAGCAAAAACCATTGCTTTTACAACATTATAGGAGATTCTAAAATTTTATTTGTCCATTTATGTGAAGAGTTCATTCATGAGAAAGGTTTTTGATACGAGATGTAGGATATACGTAGATTTTCGGTTAATGATTCTAGTTTTCGATTAGTACTTACAAATTTAAAAATAAAAGGATATACTAACAAATTCTGTTAGGTTTTTGATTCATTTAATATTGTACAAGAACAAATCAGGGCTTAAACAATGCTTAAAACTTAGTGATCTTTTTTGATGAGTTAGATCAAATGGATACGAATCATGCAATCATTTGGTCTAGTTTTGTTCATTAGAAAATGCAGATCTTGAACAGATTCAGCTAACAAATCTAGATAAAGTTTTTGAGATAACACTACGACGAAGGCCAAGAAATATGGACCAATTCCATCAGGAAAACACCGAAAATCGATTTGAACTTGCAAGTAATATTCTGGATCGAAAAGTCTTCAGATTTTTCCGATGATTTCCTGCCAACTTCTTGCTCGTTATGGCAAGAAACGATCGTAAACTATTAGAAAAATTCGGAGACTTTTCCGTGTTTTTCTACCGGATACGATGACTTTTTTCGTTATCTTTCCGACCGATTCTAGTCAAATCCGATTGTTTCCGAAGTCTAGAATCATCGACTAGACGATTAGACTAGTTCTTGTTCAAGGAACTTTTCAATATTTCCTCAAATCTAAACTCTTATTGAGCTGCAATACTCCTAGAAATGTGCTTAATTAAAGGTGAAAATATTTTACAAGTGTTCTTGGTGATTTAGTTCTTACAGAGAAAAGCACACATGTCCGTGCTGTGAACATTAGATTAATTGATTTTATTTTTTGAGTTTCTTTAACTTGTTGTTTAGAAAAATAATTGCATTGATAGTAGCAATTTGATGAGAAAACCCAACAAATGAGTATTTTTCTTCTGAACAACAGCAGCAATAATTCATGAGCATTTATATATATGAAATCATAACAATCTTTTTGAGTGTTGTTCAAATCAATTAATCCAACATGCTTTAAAAACTGTTCCTGCATTTATATATATATTTATTTATTTATTCTAATACAATATGTTGAAAGGAATATTTCTGTGTTATATTAATTCAAACAGAGTAGAGAATATCACAGAAGGTATATACGATCGTAATACTTCTAAAAACACACATAACGTTAAGATTAATTTCATCGAACACATTTTTGATCTATAAAGACTCATTGTAAACAAGCACAAGAAGGAAAATTTTTTTTTTGATAATTATAGATATGTTGTTAATGATTGCTGTAATATATATGCTCTAGATATAAAATGATTCTAGCATACTAGAAAAAAATTCTTCTAAGTTTTTTACTGTTTCAAAATGTTGAAGTCAACCGCTTTTCTCATGGTTTTTAGTTCACTGATGATACATCTATGGCTCTATGTCTAGCGAGTTCATTGGTGATACACCAAGGATTTTTTCCTTATGATCAGCTTGTTCGATACAAATGGTGGTATAGGAATGGTTACATGTCCTCTATAGGAGAATGTTTTGATATTGGTGCGTCAATCAAACGATCATTGCTTGAATTTGAAATTCGCCAATATGATTTCGCTGAAAAATACAATATTCCTCGTGAACGGGTAGATTATCTTACGTCTTCTCAAGTTACAGGTAAGTTCAATTTATTGTGTAGTGACAAGGATGTAGCTGGTAACGGTGCTTTAATGCGCATCGCTCCTGTGCCACTCTTCTTCCACCACCATCCCAAGTATGCCGTCCATTATTCTGATATTAGTACAAGAGTAACTCACAATGATCAGCGTGCTTATGATGCATGTCGTTATTACAGCGCTCTAATTGTGGCTGCTCTCCAAAACGAAACTAAAAGTGCACTGCTCAACAACGATTTTTATCAGAATCATATACAATGGTTCAATTCTAAACCACTTCATCCAGAAATTATGAAAGTCGCGCAAGGATCTTACAAAAAGCAGGGTGGATACGACGAAGGTATTCGAGGCACAGGATATGTTGTTCACTCTTTAGAAGCCGCTTTGTGGGCCTTTTGGTCTGATGGAGATTCGTTCGAAAACGGTGTTCTCGCTGCTATTAACCTTGGCGATGATACTGACACAACAGCGGCAATTTATGGTCAGTTAGCCGGTGCCTACTATGGTTACAATCGATTACCTAACAAATGGCTGAATAATCTGTACGGTAAAGGTTTTATAGAGTGTCTGAGCAAATGGATTGTATTTGAAGGGGAAAGATGGAGCCCAGAAAAACGGCCGCCTTTAACAACAACTACTTCTATCGTCCAACAACAAGCAAATGTTACCACGAGCGTGTCTAATAAGCAACATCTATATTCTAACACGAACACATCTGCTTCTCAATCTAATTCACAAAAAATCGCTCAAACACATTCTACGAGAAATCAAGGATTCACGCCCGAACGCTTTCCTCAGGCCACGACTGGAGAAGAACAAAATAGACCTAAGAAACAAACTTCATATTTAGCCGTACCGAATAATACTCCTGGAGCTCTTAAACAGACTAACAGCTATCATGAAGACGACACTTCTCGTCCGAGATGCCCTTCAAAAAACGAGATGCATTCCCCTAATTTACCGCCATTGCAACACCGTCCTTCCGCGACTGTATCTAAACGTAAGAATTTTATATTTGATTAAGTTTTATCGGAAGAAGTTTGAGTTGTAAAACAAATATGCTCACATGATTAATTTTTCCAGTCATTTTTCTGATGAATATGTTAAAAACTATGTTGTAATATTTTCTGTCTTTTATAGCAACGGATTCTAACAAACGCTTGAATACCTGTGACGATGTTTGCCGTTGGATCATGTCTTTGGGTGATGAATATGCACCTTATGCGCGTATCTTCAAGGAACAGAATGTTGATGCATTTTGGCTTTTCCATATGCTTAATAAAGATGTTCTCATTAAATATGGAATCGAAAATGCAGAACATCGACGAGTAATTCTTTCTAAAATTAAAGAATTGCAGAAACAGCAATCAACCTAAATTTTAACAAGAACAAACAAGGAACTTTTTCGATCACCTTTGTTCATAAGAAAATTGATACTTAATTTGTGATTTGATATTTCTTAATTATTTTACAAATTTTTTTTTTAATAAAAGTTGACGAAATATCTTTAAACAACTTGATGCTATAATTAAAATATTTCTCGTTTAAAATACTTAATTATAGCATTTCTAGTTTATGGCTCTAACAATAAGAGAAAAATAGAACTAACGTGTAGACTTGCGTGTGAATGTTACCGAAGAGAAGACACCCAAACATACACCTTTACACCCATACTCTTAAAAGAGATACTCTTCGTTGCTCATAAAGAGCAAGTATTGTTGGAAAGCAAGTGTCATCGAAACAATCTTGTAGATTGCAACAGTCGTGTTACCCTTCATCACATTAGACCGCGATTAGGATAAAGAGCAAAGCATAAAAGCATATCATATGAATTATATGTTTCAGCGTCTTTTTGCTCTATAGACCTAGTATGTTATTGTTATAGCATATAGTCTATGATTTAAAGACATTATACTATTATAGACGAAGTATGGTATTCGACAAATAGGTAGTAACGGTTACACACCCTTAAAAAAATACTCTTTTTTTTATCCAAATTATTAATTCAAGTTAGAATTATAATGCTACATTGTTCATTAAATATTTTATTTTTTGCCTTAACACTTTACCCCCGAATGTCCACTGGAGTGGACATTGGAAGAACAGTTGCGAAAAATTAAGAAATCATCTGATTGAGAAACTCTAAGAACACTCTTTGTAGTAAACTTCATGGGCTACCAATCGGTAAAAAAAACTTTTTTTTTCGCGGCGCTCGTTCGGAGATATGTGACTCCTATGATCGACGATTTCGAAAAACGACTATTGTGTTGTAAAAGTAATTTTCTATTTCTAAGCAATAAATCCTCCGGCGATCTACTGCGTGATACATGTAGAAAAAGGTGTTCACTAGTGATATGTTTAGTTTCCAGAATTTTCAGAAAAGTCTAGGAGGTCGACATATGGTAAAATATACAATAGTCACTACAAGGTTTCTACAATAGTAACGTCCTGGCTCTTAAATATCCACGAATCAATGCAACAATTGTCTCAATCATAGAGAATTATAGAGCAAACATTTTTCTATGAAATGAAACGTTCCCTCGCTCTCTACGAC